GCCCCTCCAGCCCCCAAATCTCACCCTCCAGGATGAGTCCTCGGCTACAGATACTGGGACCCCCGCCCCAAGAGCCTCTCCTGACTGTCCATACTGCCCCAGACCTGGAAGCTCTGCGGGGCCCGAGGGTCTGCAGGGTCCCAGGCCCACCATTCGATGGCTTCCCAGATCTTGAGGCCGTCGTCTCGGTAATGGTAGTTGGGGATGCCCAGGACCCCGCGGTCCCGCAGGCTGTCCGGGAGGCAGAAATTGGTGTAGGTGAAGTGGGCCAGGCCGGTGCTCATGAGGTAGAGGAGCCCTTGCCGCCCGATGGACGTGACCTAGAGATATAACACAGGTCGGCTTTGGAACCTGCTCACCCCACCCCCACCCCACCCCCAGCATTCCCTGGGGAAGAGGTGGGATTAGTGACTAGTGACGTGGGAGAGATCAATACCACCCCACCCCCCATGGGTGACGTGCACCCCAGCAGTGACCCTGGTTTGCACCTTAAGTAGTCGATTAACTAGAAGAAGGAACCACAGGCCAGGAAGGCGACCTACAGTCAGCGGGGGTCAGCTGGGGCTGCCCCAACTACCTGCGGAAGCCCTTGGAACCAGGTCTGAGAGGGTGGGATCCATGGGTGGGACTGGCCTGCCAGGACAGTTTATGGGTGGGGCCAGCAGAAGAGTGGTGGAGAGGGGCGGGGCTTTGAGGCAAAAGGATGGGCAGGGCTTATAGGTGGAGAAAAAACCTGGGGAGGGGGGCGGTAGGCATGAAGAGGGCAAGAAGAGTTCTGAGGGAAAGAATTGGCAAACGGAGGCGGAGCAAAATGTGTAGGTGGGGCAATGCATTCTGGGGGCGGAGCTTCAGAGTGGGGGGACGGGGTGGGGAGTTCTTGGGGTCGGGGGGCCACACCTTGTCCACGAGACCCTCAGGGTTCAGCAGCGTGGCCCGTGCGATGGTGTTCACTTGCAGCGTGTAGCGGGTGTGGGGGAGCAGGAGCTGCCAGAGGGGAGAAGTCACATGAGCCCCCAACCAAACCCAAACAAACTCTGCCAGCGGGTTTCTGTAACTTGTTACGAAAGTAGAAAGCCTTGTCTTCCTTCGGCCAAACAGGCTGGTGACTTTGAACAGATGACTTTTAAGTGAGCAGCCAAATGCATAATCACTACGCTGCAGGAAGCCCCAGGTGTGGGGGGCAGGTCGCCGTGGCCCCGCCCCCCTGCAGGCCCGCCCCCTCTGGTCCCGCCCCGGGGGTGGCACGGACCTTGTAGATTGGATGGCAGAGGGGCAGCTGACGCAGCGTGGCCATGGCAAAGGCCTCGCACAGCAAATGCGTACACAAAAAGTGCGTGTTGTTCTCATGCACCAGGAACTCGGCGTTGCGCACCCACGTCTTGGCCAGCAGCCAGTCCCATTCGCAGTCACTGGGCAGGAAGATGGGGCACTCTGGCCCCGGCGTCTGGCTGAGCTGCGGGTGCAAGAATAAGGGGGTGGGACCTCCGGGCAGGTCGCGAGGCCCCGCCCCGCCCCGCCCCGCCCCCGGGCTCACCTGGATGGCCAAGGGCATTAGCGCCCCCTGGGGAGTGAGCCACAGTAGGCAGAGAGGGGCGGCCACATACTGCTGGTGGCCGTTCAGGCAGTGGACAGGGGCGTCGGCCAGGATCCAGTAGTCTGCAAGGAAGATGCTCTTCCTCTGGAGAGGGAGCACAGAGCCTTAGGGTGCTGCCGCCGTCCCACGCTCCCCTCCCTGCTCGACTTACGCCCC